AATTTAAAACCCTATTTGTATCAAAAACACCATTATGATGTAAATTTAAAACTCGCAGTGTGTTAGATCTACTTTATGTTTATATTAACGGTAAGAATACGGTAAGAATTATATAAACATTGCACGAGTGTTAAATTCACACCCATATTATTTAGAGTGTGGAGACGCGTAGCATCACGTTGAAAATTGTTCAAAATTTTGTTTGTTTTTCTGGACACCCAATAAAAACTTATTTTTTCCCCGGAGCGTAAACCTTGATTGCGCAGATTATGTTATGACTGTACTCTACATGGAAAATTTAAGACTCTACACGACATTGTCCTACATTGCTCTTCGTCCAGTACACGTGCACTGAAAATCATTATATACTCTCCCCTTGTAAACGTTCGGTCGTTCAACAATGATATTAAACACTCGTTAATGTATGATTTATCGACAGATTCTGCCGGCAATATTGATTACGTCGACGTACAAGATAAACGATGTCCCGGCAGAAGACGCGAAGGCAATCGAGAATGGGAATGATTACGCCCAGGTCCTCGAGCTTTCATTATTGTTTTACGAAGCACAACGTTCTGGTAAGCTGCCGAAGAACAACAGAATTTTATGGCGAGGCGATTCCGCGTTGTACGATCGCGGCTCGAATGGCGAGGATTTAACCGGAGGATACTACGATGGTAATAAGCCAGTTACGTTTTTCAATCACTATATAATTCGATAAGTTTACGATATAGTTATTTAAATTTAGAAAGAAATATGTCAAGATAAAATCTTTTTAAAATGAAAAAAATGTATAATCCATTTTGCAAAATTAATTATTGTTATTCTGCCAGCTGGTGACTTCGTCAAATTTGGCTTTACGATGGCTTTCACAACGACACTTTTGGCTTGGGGAACGGTCAACTGGCCAGAGGCTTATGACGCCGCCGGTCAACTGGACGAAATTCGCAGAGCTATCAAATGGTCCACCGATTATTTTATCAAGTGTCACGTAAGCGAAAACGTGTTGTACGGACAAGTGGGTGATTTTCCCATCGATCATATGTTTTGGGGAAGACCCGAGGAGCTGAACACTACTAGACCAACCTACAAGATTGATGCAGAACATCCTGGTAGTGTCGATACGTACTTCTCTTTTCATATAATTCGTTTATTTGTCAGGAGATAGATAGAGAAATAAAAAAAAATACATCGAAATATATTATTGCCTTTAATTTTTATTGTATAGAGTATCTATTTACGAGAAAATCATTTTTTCTATTTTTTTTTTTTACACTCTGGACTTATCTTTTCACATTTATTACATTTATTACATTTATTATATATTGCAATCTTATATAATATTCTGTTTACTACTATTATCAGGTTCTGATCTCGCCGGCGAAACGGCCGCCGCTCTCGCGGCTTCGAGCATCGTCTTCAGCAGCGTCGATCCTGAGTACAGTGCCAAGTGTCTCGAGCATGCGAAGGACTTGTACAAATTCGCTGACGTTTATCGCGGTCTTTATCACGAAGCGATACGTGGTGCCGAACGTTATTACGAAAGCACGGACTATGGCGACGAACTAGCGTGGGCCGCAATTTGGCTTTTCAAGGCGACCGGAGACACGAAGTACTTCGACGACGCAATACATCATTACCAGCACTTTCATCTAAAGGAGCGGCCGAACGCATTCTTCTACAATAAGAAAGTCGCTGGTATCCAGGTGAAATTTCTTATTTATATATTATTTTATTCTGAGATAAGCGACAAAAGGGTACCGACATACCTAAGAGAAGAAAATTTAGAGATAATAAAAAAAGGGAAAGAGATGAGAGTATATAGTAAAATTAGTAAAATTGAGATGCGGGAATATGGAAAAGGCTGGGGCCCGATTGCATCAACGTTACTTTGACTTTAAGCAAGGCTTAAAATTCTCTCTATCTCTGTCTTTCGCTTTAAAACGAGACAGAGAATTTTAAGTTTTGCTTAAAGTCAAAGTAACGTTGGTGCAACAGAGCCTAATCAATATTGATTAGAGGAAGACGATGGAGAAGAGAGAGATATATTCTGCGGAAAAGGTAAAGATAATATAGAACGTTATATAAAGGAATGAATTATATAGGAGAAGAGAAGGAAGAGATTATAGATATGGGAGGGAGAACTGCATGATATTAAAGGTATAGAGTCATAAAGAAATTGTGGAAAGATAGAAAGATGATATTGAGAAAAAAGAGAAAAAAGGATAAAGAATTAAATTCATAGCAGATAGGAGGTCTAAATAAATAAAGAAGGCAGGGGGAGAGGTGAGAAAATAAAAAATGGCCATAAGAATGAGGTTGTGAATAAGTACGAATAGAAAAAGAAAAATATAGTAAGATAAGGTAGAGGAGAGGAAATTATAGATAAGTGAATTTAAAGATTAGGTAAATAAATGGATAATTAAAGAAGGTACGCGAGGAAGGTATGGATGAATAAGGAGACGAAAATTATAAACCAAGTTCCCTTCTTGACTATATTATATGCTGAAATTAATAAATTCTATTCTATTATTCTATTAAAATCTATTCTATTCTATTATTTTATTCTAGGAATATATATTAATAAATGTAGTATATTTGTTACGATAGAGTTGTCATTCCCCGACGAATTTGGCTTTAAAGTAAGGAAAGTTAAAAATAATTCGCTAAGTGGTAATATCTTGTTCTCATCTGATATTTTCAGCTGGAATACATTTTTTTCTCGCTTTTTGTAGGTACTACTGGCCGAATTGACGGGACAGTCCGAGTACCAGAATGCCACCCGCGCATTCTGTGACTTCTCGGTACGACAGCAGAAACGCACACCGAAAGGCCTTTTGTTTATCGATAAGTCGGGTACTCTTTCTCATGTTGCTAATGTAGCCTTCGTCTGCCTCGTAGCAGCGGACTTTCCGGAAATCGGCGAACCGCAGGAATATCGTCAATTTGCCAAAGAACAAATTGATTACATGCTGGGTGGAGCCGGTAAGACCTGAGTATTATTCCAAAATATCCCGAAAAGATAAAAATTCACTAATTTAGTTGCGATGAATTATTTTATTTATATATCATAGAATTTCTATTTTTTTTTATTTTTATTTTTTATATCATTAACTCGTTATTAATTATTATGTCATCGATTAAAAATTTTTGTATTGTTAAATATAAATAAAATCTAAATATTTGGCAATCAATAAATACACAATAATGGTAACAAATTTTTGAATGGAAGTTTATCTTCTTGTTTTTTTCATTTTCATCATTGAACTTATGTTTTTTTCTTTTGCAGGAAGGAGTTACGTAGTCGGATATGGTAAAAATTCACCGAAACAGCCGCACCATGCTGCCTCTTCTTGCCCGAGTAGACCGACACCCTGCGGATGGCAGGAATTTAGCAAGAATGCCCCAAATCCGCAGATCCTTTATGGTGCTCTAGTCTCCGGACCAGACGAGGTGGACTTGTTTAAAGATTGTCGCGAGGAGTACGCCTATACAGAAGTCACACTGGATTACAACGCTGGTTTCACCAGCGCACTCGCTGGACTATTGCAGCTGCAATTGAAGAACGTGGATCATCAAAAGAAAATTAAATTGTAGTTAATCGACGCGTAGACGAATTTCCATGTGAAATCGAGGCTGTCATTGATTCTTTGCAATGATATACAAAGAAACTTTTTAATATTAAACTACATTTTGATTTAATTTTACAAGACTTATAACATTAATTTTATATTAGAAATCTAATTATATATTATATATACAAATATATGTTATATATATATAATTTTTATCTGTGAACTATATATTGTTGATATATGCCGCAATATTGCGATAAAACTAAGCGTGTGATATAATAGCTTGAGATAATAAGTATGTAATCTGAGGTTTTATGTCATTAATTTTAAGAACGTTTTAAATTTAATGCAGACTTTTTAAAATTAAATTTATATAGAAAATTATAATACTTTATCTACATATGTTAACAACATTTAATTAAATATAAATTGATAGTATTGAAGCAAAAACTAAAAAATAATATGCGAACGTTGTCAATAGTGTCGCATATAAATAAAGCATCGTTTTGTTCAAAATGATAGGATTTACTTTATTTGCAGTCCGACAAAGACTACAACAATTCAAATGCATTTGAGAATATGGTAACACGAGACTTTTTCAGAAGGTGAAAAAAAATACTTAGATAGTCATTGATCGTAAGTAAGCCTATGTGCGTGCGCGAACTGAGCCACGTAGTACAATATTGATCGTGCGAACATAAACAAAAAAACAAACGGTAAAACACCTTAAAAAAATAATAGATATTTGATATTTTTATTATAATATTAGCGTATTAAATATAATATTTTTTTATTTTTAAACACACAGATTGCTTAACAATTTAACGTTGACAAAATACCATTATTTTTTTCCGTTCTTATCATTCTCTAAAAATATTTAGGAAAATGAATCATCAAATTCATTATTATATTTTTCATTATTGCTTAATAATTATGCAAAATATTGTTTCCACGTGCATTGACTAATGTCAATAAGTCAAAGCACAGTGTGTTTTGTTACTTGACCAGGCTGCGTATAGTATCTTGTTTCTTTAATAAATCATATTAAAATGACATACGTGTCATCGAAGAAGCAAGTTTCCGCGAAGTGAAGACTCTAACTATAATTTTACAAGAGAAACGCAACGAGATAGTAGCGAGAATTTGCGCTGTATAAATTCCCAAGCTTTTCAAAAATAAATATGCAAAAAATAAAGCAAGATTTATTGAACATTCGTGATTTAAGTCTCTTCTTTGATCCGTGTAACATGACAATAGACTTATTCAACGAGGCGTAACGTTAGCGACAACTGCTGTATTGACAATACGCTTTTCCATGCGCTGGCTCGTGTTACAATCGCGCTTACATTACACGCTATTATGTCTATAGCTGTATCGGCACAGGTGCACCATCGCAATTGAAATAAGCGAGTGCTATCGGTGCTGTCGTCATGCGGCGCGAACACATTTTTATCTGCAGTTTAATGTGGCTTCTTCTCTTCCTGCTTTCCGAAAGACTTTTTGCGAGTGGTAAGTTTAATCTCAAATTCTATAAAAAACTTTATATATTTCGCTTTTTCAAAAATTGCGATAATTTGCGACAGCAGAATCAGGAAACGACTATTCGAAAGGATGCGCTCATGTACAGTGTGAGAATGGTAGCCGTTGCGTAAAACGAAGATCTTGGTGCAAGGATCCTCCTTGCCCTGGCATGTTATATTGTTCTAAATCGAGAAGAGGTGAAGTTCGAGAAGATAAATCGCTTTGTCTTCTGTATTACTTTATATCTTTTTTTTAATCTGCCTCTTTTTAGAATCCTTGAAGGGACCTCTTACGTGTGACACTGTTCGTTGCAACAGAGGACACGTGTGCATCATCAAAGTTCGGGGATGTCATTGGGATGAAAGTAATTATCGCATACTGACGGATTAATTATTTTTCTAGAAATGCAGATAATATATAGATCTTTAAAATTTTCTCAGAGTGTAAGCAACAATTAGCGCGCTGCGTATTGGAAAGAGAATATTACGAGAATGCAGTTTCCTGCGCCGGTTTCGAATGTCCGTCAGGAAAACGTTGCATCTTGCGAGAAATCCTCTGCGTTAGTCCACCGTGCAAATTGGCCAAAAGTTGCGAAAATGAAAAAGGTCGCATCAAGCACAAAGGAACAATTAATTTAATTCATTCTCAATCATACTTTTACGTATTTTTTCATAAACTTTTTACGTGTTTGAAATTGTTTGAATATTACATATTTAAAATACAAAATAATTTTTTTAAGCACATTTTGGAGCAATGAGTTTGAATCTGCCGTTAGAAAAGTTTCGAATATGTTCTTGTATATAACTTTGTAACCTAGTATTATTAATTAATATTAAATATAAGTAACAACTTTAATATATATATATATTTATTTATTTTTTTTAAATTATAGTTAAAATGCCTGTTAGAAAATTGTTAAATTTGTATATAATGAAAATAAATAATCGTTTTCAGATGTGCAAACTTGGTTCGATCAATGCAAAAGTTTGAACTGCGCCTCGGAATACGAGTGTTTCTTGCGAAGGCCAGAAAACAATTGTCCGACGTGCACACATACGCCTGATTGTATGTTCACCATCGGTTCGTTGATGATAAAATGATCAAACTATGCTCACATGCATTTGCAACAATAATGATCCGATATAATTCTTTTCGTAGAAGATGAGTTAATCAGTAAATATTGCTACGGTTGGATCTGCCCACGAGCGCAAAAATGTGTAGTGCGAATTGTAGGTTCGTGTAAGGGTTTCAATTGTACCATCGAGCGATTGTGTCATGCATCTTCAATCTCTTCCACTGAACATAACGCAAATAACGAGGTATATCTCTTTATTTAAAAAAATCATTAAATTGCACAAGACTCGCTGTTAATTCTAAAGAGCAAATTTTTCAAGAAAATTCGCGAAGAAAAGCAAAGGATGTCATATAATTAAATTAACTTATTTTCATCTTGTATTCCGACGACGACTTTTCCGTCGAAACAAATCCGTGAGTTCACTAAAAATAGACTAGAAAGACTCTGACAGAAACAAATGTAGGTTTCTAAGCAATCCTCAACCAGAAGAACCTTGGTGCAAGCCGAGAGGGAATTGATTCGCCAGGCGCAGGAGAGAAGTAGGAATTACCCGACTACAAGCAAAAAGGTGGAGGATTTTCTTATATGAGTGGGTTAAAAATTATAAGAGAATTCAGTTGCGAAATTGAAAGATTCGATTATGATTTCAGCCGATTTTACCAGCGACTTTAACGAGAGGACAAAGTACTCACTATACAACTCCTGCGACTCCTGCAACTTCTGCGTAAGTTAAGGATTTTCCATTAACACTAGTATTTTAAAAATATAAGGTGATTATTCTACAAATGCTTTTCTGTTCTATGCGTTTCTTCATATAGAAAGCAAGGGACAGAAGTTTCGTCGATTCATCAACAAATTGCAACAACGAAATCAAATTCAATCACAGAATCATCAACAAACGAATTATATTTGACGTTGCCTTATCTTCGAATTCGATTGTATCACAATAAACCCTTTTCAATCAACGATGACAAAGTTTTCCAGGTATTAATAAACCTATATAACACAGATAATTTCAGCGGTATTACAGCAACATTGTAAGAAATATATCACTTCTAAATTCTTTAATTAAGAGTTCAACTTCTCCGACAATTTTACCCGCTGATGGGAGGAAGTCCGAGCCAATCATGTCGCGTGATACAAATAAATTAGAAACTCCAAGAAATATCTACATAACAACCAACGAGTTCCCCCTTCCCTTGATGTTAGAGGACATTAACTTCTTTGACCAAGGTTATCCGATCTGGATAAAGAACGATCCATATCGTTCGTGGGAAGTGAAGGACGAAAAGGGATGGAGATACCTCGCGCCACAAGAACCGTACAAGATTTTATTGCCGCCGTATGAACCGGTGATCCTTGTCGAAGATATGGGAAAACGAGAACAATTTCTACCATTCTTCACTGACCTTTTTAGCGAAGCGACTTCAATGTCTTTGCCAGAAATAACACCTGCAGGTATTTATGTTAGTTGGAATTGTGTTCTGATCAACGATTAACATCAGAAATTGAGTTAAGAATTTGAGAAATATTAAGTGTACAGCCATTGTCACAAAATCCATTGACAAATTTATGAGACATAATTTGGAGTTGATTTTTTTTCTACAAAAACCATTTCTAAAGCATAAATCACTTTTTGCAATTTTTTCACCTCTAGGATGTTGCGTATCTTTATAACTGAACTTTAAATTTAAGTTGTGTCATAAATCTACTTAAAATTAATTAAAGAATGTAATTTATTAGCTGGAGTTCAATTCATAAAGAGATCTTTTATAGCAGATTACTAATTAGTGATTGCCAATTTAAAAATCAATATCTGGATATTTTATATTCTGCATAATTAAGTTATTCAATTTTTTACGATTTAAATTTATCTGAATTATTAAAAATGATTTATTTAAATAAGATATTCATATGTTTTTTTTTAATTCGTTGTATAAATGTTACTATTTTAGATATTGGAAATTCGAAGACGGATAATACTTCGACGATTGCAGATGAGACTATACAAATTGATTATACAAATATAAGTTCTACAACTGCCAAGATAGAAAACATCAAGACGAATCATACCAACGATGAATCTCCCAACGATTATAGGGTTTTCCCGATGACGGAAAAAACAAGCACGGCTTCGATAAATATTCGTAACGAAGAACTAGATAGCTATGACGTGAGTATGCTTCAAAGGATTATCTTTCAAACGTTTGTACACACGAGAACATAAAGGCTTAGCCATCCGAAATTGCACGCGTATCGAAGAAAGTATATATAAGAAGAAATGAGAAGAAGGCATGAGGACTGAAAAGATACATCTAGATATTTATGTCCTCGTGTGTATGTATTTTCAGTGAATTGGTGTGGCAATTGTTTATTCCATATTCAAACCATACAGGATTACGAGTGGGAACCGTGGTATATGATTCGTGATTATCTGGATCAAAATGAGCCCCGATCAAACCGCAAACAAGAATCCAAACGTCACTGATCGCCTGTAATTGATAATCTGTGTAAAAATGATTCTCTAAAGTTACGCTAGATTGCATAATGTTAAAACAAAGTAACAATAAACGCAAGAAAATAAAAATAAGAATAACTGGGTATCAAAATTGTACAAGATTGTATATAAAGAAATTTCGAAGCTTTACTTATGTTGCGAAAAAAAAAACAGATTTAATTTACCTAAAAATGAAATAGAAAAAATCTCGCATACTTTTATGTAATCATAATGTCTGTCTTCACTGCAACGTGTCATTGATGTTTACAGATATAGAAATGATACGTTGGTCGACATAGAAACGTCCGCAAATTACCAACTTTTCGCCAAATTACGGACGAGAAGAAGAGCCGAGTTTCTGAAATGCGATACGTAGATGGGCGCAATAAAAATATTGCGACATTCAGTCCACCTGCTTCAACGGGGCAAAGTGATTACAGCACTCGGGACGAGAAACTCCACGGTCTCGCAAATTATCCTTATGACACGATATCCGTTCACTACGTTGGCAAATCAAGTCGCGAATACGGAGGATCTTCTAAGGTAGCTTTTAAACGTTTCGTCGAACGGGGAAGGAAATACAGGTATCGCGAACGATGTCTCGATATTTTTATCTTATTCTGGATGACTTGTGAAACCGGTTCCGAATTTCGGTTTAGCAGCGTGATATGCTGATCACGTTTCTTCTCGGCGAAGACTTATTCGACAACGAACGTCCACAGTAATGCTCTCCTACGAGACATCGCCTTATTATATCCGTAACAATAATATGAGAAACCGAACAGTGTACGACGAATATTCCAGTCACGAGAACTATGACAACATCAGCGGCATCGAAATGACGAGATCGTGATGGGAAACGGTACCTTTCCGATCGAGTGCAAAATTTATGGATGTTTCTTTATTATCTCCCTGTCGTCGCTTTTCCTTTTCCTTTCCATAGCGTGATTTTAGAAACGAAATCGTTCGTTTGTAAATACTTCCGCGATTATTAGCCCCAGGGGTAGAGTAAGCAAATATACAATGGCAGCGAGAAATTGCAGTATTTCGCGTACTTTGGAGAACGGTGTCAGGCAACGTGTCTGCGGAAAATGAATTTATCCCTCACGAATATCGTTTCTCTTCGCACTTAGGTAATATCATATGAGATAACCACAAACATACTACTATATATTGTTCTTAGCTTATCTTTCGACTTTTTTGCACATTCAATTAGGAATTTCTTTCGGACAATACGTATTGTACTGGCTAAATTAAACAATTACCTAATTCGACTTACTATGATAGTTCCTTAATCATTATTTAATTTGAGGTAGTATATTATTATTCTTATAGAACGTGATAATTTAATCAACACGAACAATGGTCATAACGATTAATGACTGCATTCTGTATCGTATACAGAATTTCTTCGTCATTAAGAGATTCTTCAGCGGAAGCGTCCGCAATAATTTAATTAGTGCCTACCGGTCCCTCCACCGGCGCGTCATCGCGAAATTTCTTTGTGATGCTAACTAGTCGCAGCACGTAAATTCCCGAAACTGTTCCTGCGAGTGCGAAGCAGAAGAGAGAAGGTAGGAAAGTGGTGGAAGTTGTCGAATATTACCACGGCGATGGGGAATGGTACCAGTCTAGTCGGCCGTTGATCGCGGTACCGCGAGCTACGCTTACTCTCTCGTGCTTACTTTTCCGCGCTGTGCTGCGAGTTGCCCCAGTCGAGCAATTATCTTTCGAAGGATACGGGGTGACCATCCTTGAAAGGTGAGTTCTTTGCCTTTTCTTCTCTACTCCGGTCTTGGTGAGACCTACCAGACCTTGAAACCGGTGTAATTTCGGCGAGTCAAGATATGCTGTACTGGAGATGATTCCTGATATCTCTTCACTCTTGACAGCAAAACCAGGACGGTTGATACGGACGCGATACGTAGTTTCCACATATTCGTGAAATATATACATATACTATTATTATCGAGGAAGGTTTCAATAGATTTTTTTTATTTATTTTTTATTATCATTAAGAAAAGGAAAAAGGAAGGAGAAAGGAACAAAAAATTGTTACTTTAAATTAATTAATTTCGACTGTCTTACATAGAATCAGCCTATAAAATGCAATATTATACTTCAAAGTGAAATGAATTTTTCCAAGTAATACTCATTCCAAATTCGAACGACTGTATAATTATTTCCGTGCATATGCAAGGTATATGAAAATTAATTAGCGAATTAATTGATAAACATCTATCAACTGAAGAAAGAAACGTCATATATAATGTCGCATAAAAATACATGCATTTATAAATATATGTATGAGTGTTTGTATATTTACATATCTGACAGGAAAATGAGTGAAAGGCGTATCTCGTCTTCTTGTCTCTGATACGTGTTACACGCTTGTTGCATGTTTGCAACTAGAAATTGTGTCTCTGTACAATATAGTTAATTACTTAT